TACGTACTACGTACGTACGTACGTACTACGTCGTAGTACGTCTACGTAGTACAGAGAGAGAGAGAGAGAGAGAGAGNNNNGAGAGAGAGAGAGAGAGAGAGTTGTTTCCTTATTAGCAAATAGAGAGGAGGGGGGGGGGGGAGTGGGGGCTAGTGGATTAGTGATAATTTAGTTTTTCCTATAAATAAATAAAAAACAAGGGATAAGGTGCATTGATTAATAGAGTATATACATGTATAGTGGGTGTAAAGGATATGGACAGATGAGGCTAAGAAGTTGAGGTCTAAGACGTATGCTCACTTTCGTGCTTTTCACGATGCCGATGCATAGATAGATAGGGAGGGATAAAAGAGATGCCCATTACAAAGTATTCCACGTCAAGATGCGTTGCTTAATGCATTGGTTAACATTTTTTTTTTTTAGGAACCCTTTAATGAATTGGTTTCTTATGCCATGTTTCTTTAGTGTTTCTCTCTCTCAACTGAATTTCTGCTGCATTTCCTATATCTTTTCACAATCTTTTCCTCCTCTTTTTTTCTCTCTTACCTCTTCTCTTCTCTCTTTTTGCTTCTGAGTTGGTCCACTTAGCATACAAAATGAGATTTGGAAATAGCTGGTGAAATTTAGGTTGTAAAAAAGGAAAAATTTGTCAAACTCTCCATTAGAGATTAATAATTTATCACTTTATTCATTTTTTAATTTAATTTTAAAACATTCATGAAAACAGATGTCTTGAGTTGGAATGACCGTTCAAAAAAAAACGAGAGTTCGAATGGTTGCAAATAGCAAAACACTAAAATTCATCTTTATGTATATTTTAATAAATTTCCAACAAAAGATAAAATCAGTAGAGAATACAACTATTTCTTATTTTATTTATTTTTAATTTTATTTTAAAATTTTCAAATATGTAAGTTGAAACAGTCAAAGTTAAATAAACTATTAAATAGTCGACAAACTAAATTTTCTTATTAACTTTCCAAAATGAGAATATGGCCCTTTAAATGTAAAGTTAAAGGAAAGTCAATATTGCAATTTAGCTAAAGCAATAAGGTAATAATGCAAAAAAAAAAAAAAATCTATGTTTATATTATTTTAGTTATTAACTTATTTTAAAAAGGCGTAGACTTTTTACTTTTAATACAAGAAACTCACAATTACCATGGTCCATGAGATTTTAAATCAGTGATTGTAACACTGTCATTTAGTACACTCAACATTCCAAAAACTGTTTGTTTGTATAGAACCAAGGCTCTAAACAATCAAAGTAGAGCCCACCTTCAAATATTGTCGAGAAATGTAGTTTCAATAATGAAAATCTTTGTGATAGCCTTAAAATATATTTTCATTATAAAATTTAAAGCTTAAAAAGTAGAGTAGAATCGAGTGGATCTATGAAAACTTGAAAATTGACCGTTTAAAATGCATTAAAAGATGCACTATTTTCAAAAACTTGAAATCCATCTTTTTCTCATATCCATGTATTTTCATATCAAGATGATCAATTTGAGGATAGTTAAGTATAAAAAAAACTAGTGCAATTTTTGAGATGGACTCTAATTTTATTGTGAAGAGCCTCGGCTCTATATAAATTTTTTTAAGGGTATGGTTTTTATAAAGTTGTAACATTAAACAATCCAATTAAGGTGCAACTTAAAATTTTATCGTACCATGTAATTTTATTATAAAAAATTCTTAGCATTCTCTTAAAATCTATTTTCATAATTAATTAGAAAATTTTAAATTTAAAAAATAATTAAAATTAAGTAGATCTATAAATATATGAAAATCTTACAAATGGATGATCTATTGCAAGATGCATTATTTTTTAAACTCAAAAATAAATTTTTTTAATATTGATCAATTAGACGGTTTTTTCAACATTAAAACAACATAGGTGATTCTAAATTTTAATGTAAACTATTCCCCTTTTTTAATAAACATGTACGCAAAGATTATGACATTTAATCAGTGATCTGTCCAATATATGCGTGCCATCCCATCCCTTGCCATCCCGTTGGCCGCCATGTTTCATTAGCTTGCGTCTTTGTCTGCATTTCTCTCTCTAACCATTTTCTAATCTTTCCATAGCTAATTGAATTGTATAATAATGAACAATCCACTTCTCACTCATCATCTTTGCATCTACTTAAGCGCAGGGTGTCCTTCGGCATCTGAATATCCAGAAAGAGAAAAGCTGCTGCTTATAAAAGTGGCAATTTGTTCTTTCCTGAACCAGCTGGAAAAGGTTGAAATGATCAGAACAAGGTGGGGAAACTAGTGAGAAGTAGTTTCGTAGAGAGAGAAAATAGTGGGTTTTGTTTTTTTGTTGTTCTGTGATGGGTTTGGAGGAGAAAATGGAGGAGTTTTTGCAAAAAGTTGGGGGTTCTGCTGTTATAGATGGGGGGTTCGCCACTGAATTGGAGAGACATGGGGCTGATCTCAACGACCCTCTGTGGAGTGCAAAGTGCCTCATCACCTCTCCTCATCTTATTCGCCAGGTAATCTCTCTCTCATACACAGGCATGCCAAAAGTTGGAGCTTTGCAAATTATATTCGGAAATATATAATGAGACCATTTACCTTTAGTACTGGTTACAATTAATCTTGACCATTAGATGTGAAATTTGGTGGCTGTATTTATTTCATTGACCAAGGTCGAAGTTCAAAATAATTTTTTTTCGAACTTTTTGATGCACCCAACCTCTCAGATTTCACACCGGATGGTTACAAATAATTGTGACCTCCATTTATTGTGACCTCCATGGACCAAAGGTAGATGCTCTCATTGTATACATATGATTGTGTCATTTCTGTTGTCTTCATTTGTAATATCCAATTTTTGATGATGGGTTTCTTAAATTTATGTAAATGTTCTTGTTTTTCAAGTTTCCATTGTTAATATTGTCACTTTTACTTATTTTTTCTGATTAATTTTGATGAGTTTCTGTCATTGAGCTTTGCCATGGTTTTTCTGATTGAAGCTGCATTGTATGTTCAGAGAGTTGCATCCCTCTGTTTTCTTTTTCATATGTCTATAATTCATTTATGTAAATGATAGAATTATTGGATGAATAATTCAATTTGAATTACAGTGCCTGGTGGATGTGGAGGTGTGTGTATGTCATTATGCATGCTATTGGGGAGTGTGTGTCATTATGCATGCTATTGGGGACGAACGTTGTGTGCAAATTCTAGTTACCTGAATCGTTTGGCTCAAGTGGTTATCCTACCCTTTCAAGAGTGCTTTTATGATTCAAAACCATCAATTTCTTGAATCATGGTTCTGTACATGAAATCAGTATTTATATTGAAAAATAACTCAAGCTTGCGGTATTAGTATGCTCACTAAGAAAAAGAGCACCAATTATGAACAATTACATGGCCCCATCTGTGTGTACCTTTTGTTTCCAAGAATTGAAAGGCCTACAGTTATTTAGACTTGGTTGGTATCCTGTCATCCGATTCTTATGTTTCTTGTTTTACTATGGCTAATTGTTCTGTTGTTTGTTTGATTGTTCTATGGTTATTTTACTCTTTATATAATTTGAGCCTTTAAATGTTATTCCTTGGTTAACTTGAGAGAGTGGTGCTTCAGCTCTTTATAAAAAGCTGATGTTGGATGTTACCTTGTTTGATTATTAAACAGGTCCATCTGGATTATCTTGAAGCTGGTGCCGAGATTATAATTACATCATCTTACCAAGTACTTATGGTGTTTTTGTTTTCTAGATAACTATGTGGTATTTATTTCTTTTCTCTGTTTTGCGCATGAGATTGGTGTTCTTGGGAGATGTTAATCATGACGATTTTGGGTAAAGCAGGCTACTATCCAAGGTTTTAAATCAAAAGGCTTCTCTGAAAAAGAAGCAGAAGAGTTATTGGTGAAAAGTGTTCATATTGCATGTGAAGCCCGAGATATTTATTGGGAGAGACACTCAAAAAGTTCATGCAATAAGTTTGGAAATGGAAACGTTCTAGAACGAGACCCAATTTTGGTGGCAGCCTCAATAGGAAGCTATGGAGCATATTTAGCAGATGGGTCGGAGTATAGGTCAGTTGATTTGAATTGGTTTGGTAAGAACTTTTGGTTGTTTTTCATTTTTTGTTTTTCTTGTGTTGGGTGTAATTCTCTGTCTCTTTTTTTTTTTTTTCTAGTGGAGATTATGGGGTCGATGTCACATTGGATACCTTGAAAGATTTCCATAGGAGAAGAGTTCAGGTTCTTGCTGAATCAGGTGCTGATTTGATTGCCTTTGAAACAATACCTAATAAGCTAGAGGCCAGGGTAAGTTCTTCCAACTTTTCCATGTAGTTTTTCCTTTACCCAGTTGTTGCACAATTTATTTTCTTGATAGACAATTGCACCAGAATGCACCTGTTAGTTTTTGTTGAGGATTGATGTCTTGTATTATGAGGAAATAGATCTATCCGAACGGCCGTTAAAAGCCCGGAGGGCGATATATATTGTTGCGATGGGGTTTTTTAAGGTTAAGGGAAAAACGCAGATTGCTTAGTAATCAGAGAGAACAGAGAGGCGTGAGGAAGAGAGTTATTGCAACCCTATTCTCCATTGCCAGAAAAGAAACTCTCGTCTCCCGTGGACGTAGGCACGTTGCCGAACCACGTATATCTTTGCGTTGTGGTTGGTTGTCTCTTTCTTTTGTGTTTGTTTCTTCTTTCTTGTCTTGTGGATTGTTTTTCATTTCTACAGTTTTGTCTTGAATAACTCTCTTGCTTATAAGTAGAAGACATATCTGCAAGTCTTGTGTAGGAAAACTATACATACAACTCAGATTGAGGAGTTCTAACTAAAGCATCCTTATGGATCTGGTATTTGGTCGCTTAATATTCTTGCAAAGATTAAACTCTTGGTAGCTATACTTGATCTTCATGACACTGTCCACTTTGGGTCTTATGGACTGTGCCAAATATGCATTACAACCTGGTCGCCTCATAGTGCCAGTTATGCTTGTGACTGGAAATTCACAAATGAGTGGAGATTCACCTATCCACAAATGTTTTATTAATACATACATTTAAAAGCATTTCTTATCAAAAAATTTGCAACATTTCTAGGTCTATTGGACTGGTGTAATTTTGTATAACCATTTATATATGGGAAAAGTTTATATAGAGCTTGGGCTCTAAACAATCAAATTCGAGCCTACCTCAAAACTTTCACTAGAAGAGGTTGTTTTGATGCCCAAATATCCTCAAATTGATCATCTCGACATCAAGATGCATGGGCTTGAGAAAAAAATGAATCTCAAGTTTTGGAAATAGTGCATCTTGTAACGCATTTTTGGATCGTCACTTTTTTAGTTATTAGTGTTTTCTTAGGTCTGCTCGATCTACACTATTTTTTAATCTTAAAATTTCATAATTAAAGATAAAAATATATTTTAAGGCTATTCAAAGATTTACAGTGTTGAAACCACAGTTTTCAACGCTATTTGAAGGTGGGCTCTAATTTGATTGTTCAGGGCCTTGGCTCTATACAAACCGCACCCTTTGTATATTAATAAATATGGAAGTTTTTTTTATATATCTTTTAAAATTGTAGTGACATCTTTATTCATAACCAAAAGACTACGAAGTTAAATAAACTACGTGGGTACAATCAAGTACTAGACATGGACCTCCGTATATAAAACACATGCATGCAGGCATGTGAATAGACGTGAAGATCATTCAACATATTCGTTTTAGGACCCGTATTTACACTCCCAATTTGAAAAATGGAAATCCATTCAAGAATATACTATATGCTACTTGGAAGTTTTTGAGAAATCCATGTCCTTCTTAGTGATCATTGTCTTATCCTTCCCTCTAATCAAATTACCCAGAGATGTGCATTTATGAGCCCATATTATGTCCCAATGTATAATTATATTTAGTTTAATTGCCATAGTTAGAAGCTCTTTTCTCATTCTTAAGTTGACGCTATTCTTTTTTGGGTAATTGTTTAGGCTTATGTCCAGTTGCTTGAAGAAAATGACATAAACATCCCAGCTTGGTTCACTTTCAATTCTAAGGATGGGACTAATGTTGTTAGTGGGGATTCGCTACTGGAGTGTGCTTCAATTGCAGACTCATGTAAGAAAGTGGTCGCTGTGGGGATTAACTGCACGCCTCCCAGATACATTCATGATCTGATTCTTTTTATCAAGAAGGTATGGCCTCTTCTAATCCCAATATTGATTGGTAATTGTTGAATTGAGCTCATACTATTTGATGGTAGGCCATCATATGGGGAGCAGTATGGCTTTTATGATCTCGTCTTTTCTTTTTTTCGAGTTGGGTATTTCTGTTCTCCTATACGACTTCATGATATCATACATTTGTAAAAACTAGAGCTGCATGTAAGAACCATTAGGTGTTTGTGGAGTTAGGACCACGGTCAATGTGTTTAGTACTTTATTTACAATAGTGGATGGCCCCTAGGCCTGGGTGGTCAGACTGGCAAATTGGCACAACATGATGTCAGTTCTTCCATTCCTACCGAAGTCCCAAGTTGAGGTTCCAAAAAACAAAAAAATGTTCCTTCCCGAAAAGGATCATTTTTCTTAACTAGTCAGATCATTCTGCTTTTGAGTCCCAACTGATTTACTTTTTTGGTGGTTTATTTTTCCTTTTCCATCGTACAGGTTACTACTAAACCAATAGTGATCTATCCGAACAGTGGGGAGACATATGATTCCGTAATTAAAGAGTGGGTGGTGAGTTTGCTTTTCTCAATATTTGCAATATTTGATGGCTTTCTCTTAATAAGTAGTCCTATTTTTGTCTAAGTGCTATGCTCTTTTGTGTGCTGAGTATACTCATATTGTTCACTTTTTTCTCTGAGATACTGCTTATTATCAAATTGTTGGGTTAATTATTGCATTCCCATATTGTTGTCTTTCAAGATGTTATGTGGTATTGTGATTATTTCTATTAGAAACATTGCTGTGCAGATCTTGCTCAATTGGAATATTTGGTGATGAGGTGCAATGGTGTCTTTTTATTTGCAACATAATGTCTCCATTTTAGATGAGCAACCATAGTGCCATAAGGCAAATTGATTCTGAAAGAGCCGGCCTGGTGCCAGATGAAACCAAAACCAAGAAAAAAATATGAAATAAAAAGATGTGGGCTGGCTTACCTAAATCAACCCTCCTCCTTTATCCAACTTTGGGACCGGCATGACCGGGGTAGGACCGGCCGGCATGACCGGAGTAGGACCGGCCATGGCAGAGTTTATCCAAGGGAAAAGAAAAAATAACATTAAGAAAAGCCACACATCCGACTTAGTTTCTGAATCCTTCACAAGTATGGAAACGGTGGTCATCTGCTGTTTATTGTTCCCATAGAAAAGTTCTAAAATAATAATAATAATAATAATAATATAAGCACACAAAGCCATAGATAAACATTAAAAAAAATTAAATTAAATTTGTAGTGCAAGACTTGAAGGACAAATGTATAAACACTCTAAACCATACTGAGTTGTAACGACATTTGCGTAGTATTCTGCAAAAAACAGTAGATGGTGGAAATATTGAGAGACAAAAGAGGGTTTGTCATCTGCAGTCATTTATGCATACTTTGTTCATCATATGCTTTGTGTATCTCTTGATGGTAATAATAATGTCTTGTGGCAGGCACCAAATGTTATGTGTACTTGTAACCTGTATAACATGATATCATTTGATTCTTTCTTATATGGTGAGGCATTCAATATAGTTTTTGGGGTTTTCCTAGTGCTTTTACTTTGACAAGGAAGAGGAACATAACCAGGAACAACCTAGGGACCAAGGTTCTACTTTGATTTTGATTCCCATGAATGAACTAGAAGTGTGTAATGAGAATAATACTCTCCTTGCTAAGGAAGACCTGTGTCAACTTTTTGTAGAAACACAAATGATATGTGTGAACAACTTTAACTGTCAAAAGGAGAAGGCAACTTAAATTGCCACTCCTAGAGAAAGAGAGTTACTTCAAATAATTGATTGGACGTTCTTTTAGGAATCGGCTGGTGTCTCAGATGAAGATTTCGTTTCTCATGTGGAAAAATGGCGTGAAGCCGGGGCATCCTTTATTGGAGGCTGTTGCAGAACAACCCCGCTTACAATCAAAGCTATTTCAAGGGCATTGAACAAGAGATCAACAAACTCTTCAAAGCTGACTTGTAAACAAGATCTTGAGGAGCTGTTTAATTAAAGACAGCAAGAGATCAACAAACTCTTCTGCGCTGACTTGTAGATAAGAGCTTGAACAGTTACTTAACTGAAAAGAGCGAGAAGTCATGAAACTCTTCAAGGCTGACTGATAAACAAGAGCTTGAATAGTTATTTAACTGAATAGAAAATGGTCAGTATGGCAACTCTTAACACAATCCAAAACCTGGGCTCTTATTTTCCTTTTCGTCTTTGTGGAATAATAAAGTGATGGTGATTTCATGGAATTTTAAGAAGGATTCATGCTGAATCATGCAATATATCACATTTTCATGCATGTCTTTTGATGTTTGGTTTGGGACGAAAATGAAAGTATAATGATGGTTCCTTAAGAAGAAAATGTATATAAGGCCATTAGGAGAGAAATAGTGGTTTTTCATGCAGATGAAAAAAGAAAAGAAATTTAAATCAACGAAAAAAATTGCATTTATTAAATAAAAAGTCAAAAGGAATTCAACCAGGATGTTTTTCATTTTTCTTCAATCGGTTGTATGAGAATCTTAACCACTGCTTAAATCATTTTAATCTATTTTTTTAATAAAAGCAGATTCGAATTATCTGATTTCAGAAGACTCTTGACTAAAAAATCATCGGGGTCTTTGAAATATACTTTGCAAATGCATGGAAAAAAATCTGCCCAAAAATTGCAGATTTCAAATCCACCAAAAATTGACGAAAGCCAACAATATTTTCTCAGTTGATTTTAAATAAAAAATAAAGAACTCTGATTCAAAATAGTCAATATTAAGGAGAAAAATTGCAATTTTGACGTTCTCCAAGTCCTTGGCTAGTGATTTCAAATCCAGGAATAGAACTGCAGTCTTGTTAAGGGTTCAAGATGAATGATTTGGGACAAATTCACAAAAAATTGTTTTGAGATGAAGAACACAGAAAAAGTCAGATCTATATGAAGAAAGAGGTTAGATGAAGGTGTTGCAGAAGAGAGCAGTTCGGTTCTTGGTTGGAAAATCGTTCAATTTTTTGATCGAATTGTTGGTTCTCGGACTGAGGTGATTTAGGTTAGACTTGGGCCGGCTTTTGATTTGACAAAGGAATGGGATCAATATGTTGCTGATCCCTATCCAGATCAGGTGAATCCGATAAAGATCGACCACCTTAAAATTACAGTTTTTAAGGTTATTATACTCACCAGGAGAGGGTATACAATAAGACCAGTAAACTTTGGTACAAGGTTTAATGGAATGGTGATTACTAAACTCACATTTTAAGAAAAAATTTCAAACTTCATGCATAAAAGTGGCTTACACTGAAAGAGTGATTGTTATGTTGTGCCGAATTTAAAGGCATAACGGGATTATTGATAATGCTAGAGAGAAAAGAAGCGAGTTGACATAAAGAAGAGAGAGTTTGCGAGAAGAATTAAAAAAAAAGAAAAGGACTTAAATAGGGAATGAGCAAAGAGAATTACATCTGTGAAAGGATTGAATTTTTCTTATGGGAATTAAATTTCACAATTACTCTGGTTCGTCATATTTTCACATCTAATGGTTGTATAAGTGCTATTGACTAAACTCAATTTGACATTTAATAGTTAGAACTAATTGTAACCTCCATATAAGGATAAATAGTCTTAATATACAATCCCAATAAGAAAGCAATTGAGAACCATGAGTTGAAACCCTGGTCGTACACTTTTGGTTTCCTATTTGTAGAAAGAAAAGTATACGCGAAGCCATTTATTTTTAGTACAAGACATCACAAGCACTCTTATCCTTTATGTTTCAAATCGAGTATCTTTCATATTTCAAATCGAATGAATGTGTCATTAACTATATCCAAAGTTCAAAAAGAAATTTCCCAAACTTCATAACACATCTCAAGCCATCTAATTTGATTAGGAATAATTTTATCTTCCTCGATGTAAAGATGGGGATTGTCTACAAAGAGACTATTTATCTTTTGTACATGAAAATCACAATCAATCCTATTTATTAGATGTTAAATTAGATGGCTTGGGGTGAATCACGAAAACCGAAAATTTCTTTTGAAACTGTCTACTAATTAAACTCTTACAACTACCCATTTTGAAATTTAAAGGACAAAAATAATTATAACCTCCACATATAAAAGATAAATGATTTCCCCCCCCCCCCTCCAAAAAAAACCAAAATCCATTCATGATTCAATTTTGTTATCTCGACCACCATGGCACGTAGAAGATGTGATTCTATCATTGTTTAAAAGATCGGCCGATTCTTAAAAAATTGGCCGACTAACTTAGGATCGGTCATTGACCGATCTCGATCTGGCCCAATTGAATGGGAATGGGAAACTTCCATGTGTACGAATTGAATGGGAAACTTGTATGCAAAAAAAAAATTGTGTACGAATTGATACTAATCGTACACTAATCGACAATTTGTTTTAAAAATTAGCCAATAAGTGTATAATCACAGTGCAAAGTCTGCAAAGCTATCTTTATAACATTTATGATTTGATCGTCAATCTAATATCTACACCACCAACCTCCCAAGGTACACATAGACACAAATATGAGAAATGGAAATTTATCAAAATTGTCACAAAAAGACGAACAAGTTTATATTTTACCTACAGTTTTAATTAATTTCCAAAATACCCAAAAAACAAACATGATCTTGAATGGAAATATTCTAATATTTTATAATATTATATTATATATTTATTTTATTAATGTAATTTATATTATATAATATATATTGATTACATATTATATATAATATATAATACTAATACATATTTATTATACATAGATCAGTATTGCTGTTTCAGATGCCTAATCATTTTCTCTGCAATTCAATTATGTTTATAATATTTACTGTTTTGCTTCTTTTTTTTTTACAATATAAAAAATTAATACATGTAAATTTTAAACATTTTTTATATTTTATTTTTTGGGATTTTTTGAGTTTTTGGGATTTTTTTCCAAAATTGCATTTTTCAAAAAAAAAAAATCGGGACACTAATCGGCCGATCTAGTTGGAATTGGTCGGACTAATCGGATCGGGTCAAGACCTACTAGTCGGCCCAATCCGTTATTTTGAACACCGGATTCTACCAGGTGCCAATACACAATTTACATAAAAATATCCTTCCATGAACACCCTCCTCTCTCTCTCTATGCGAGCATGTGTATCTAACTTCAGCCATAAAGCCTGAAACCAGAGTAGAAAGGATTTTGCAAGTTGATGAGAGCTCAAAACCAAAACAGATGATTTTTACAATACAGAGTTTCAGCTCAGATCAAAAGCTACTGAAACTTTCACAAAACCCCAACGATTTAAGAATCGAAGCCGGAGTAGATTCCCCTCTCTCTCAATAACCTCTTCTCTTCCTCAACGTAGCTCTTCCCCCTACTGGCCTGTCCAAGCTCTCTCTTCCTCTTCTCCTTCTGCGAGAAAGACATGCCGCCTTTCCTCTCACTTCTGACCTGCACATTCGCGAGCCTTGCACCCTCTTCCACTGCAGCTCTTGTCCTCTCTCTCTCGTCATATGATTCCTCTCCCTCATCCTTGTACTTTTTTCCATCAGACCAAGACCAATTTTGCTCAATGGTCTCATTCACTCTTGGGGGTGGGACTTTGAGCACTGATGGCCCACCCTTATACCCATGTTTTTTAAGAGCTTCGAAGTCTATGCCACCCATCTTTTTGGTTCCTGATGATTTTGTCATATCAATTATTTCTATCAAAAAATTTACAGAAATGCAATGAAGTGAGAGAACCTCAAAGCCTAAGCAAAATACTTGCTCCCTGAGTTTTTTGTTATATAACGTACAGCTCAGTATTATTTTCATCAAAACATGACGCAAATGCAATGGAATGGACCCGTATGGATATCAAAAAAGAGGAGATATCCAGGCTAATCTAACTTCAGAAAAGAAACCGCAAATTTGCTAGCTCATCCACCATGGAGTTTTTCAAACATTTCGATATATCACAAGCAATTCATAGAACTAATCATCTTTCAATTGGCAATTAGCTGTGACAAACTTTTATTTGGGTAGTTCAACAGCAGGATTTGAACTTGGAACAGTGTTCAAATGGTCAACACCCTAACAAATCAAGCCCAAGCCTGAATCCTTGGTAAAAACAAAACTTTATATATCATATGGCAACTACTGGATTTTGGGATGTAGCCTTAAAGAACAGAGGAGAGAGAGAGAGAGAGAGAGAGAGAGAGAGAGAGAGGTAGGTAGTAGGACGACTACTACTACTACGTAGTTGGTAGGTAGTAGTAGTCGACTACTACAACTATAGTCGTAGTAGTAGTACGGTACGGTACGGTTACTACGACCG